GTTCAGATGCTTCTTGTCAAGAGTGAACTTTCCATTGGCAGAAGTGGTGGATATATTCATGCTTTTGTGTTTCTTCCCGTTCCAAAGGTTTCCAGGCTCCTCAACAGGGTCCACAGTTACCCCTGCATGGTGATAGCAGTCATTTGCCTGTGGCCTCACCATACATGGTTCCCTCTCTTGCAGTCTCTGACCCTTGAACCTCCTATTCTTTAAATTATGATCTTTTACAGCAGGGCCAGGTGCTATATTCAAATGCAAGCAAGTTACCTTGAGCAGCTTGGAGACAGGAGGTGAAGACTGACTTGCCTGAACTGCTCATCTTCAGTTATTGAGACGTTGTATTCTAGAGCATCTACTATAAATTCACCTATACTAGAGTGTGGAATAAGATCATAGCCCACACAAGCTCAACTTTCTTCAGGCAGACAAAATATACTTGCGTTTCAGCACCCTCACAGGGCAGGTCTTGGGCATCTCATTAGTTTATGGGCCAGTTCTTAAGGGCCTGTTCAAGAATTCATCCTTCCAGAAAGTTGTTATTGTAGCCTCAGGATTTACAAACAGTGCTGAATGTGTTCTCCCGTCCACTATTTCTTCTAGATCAGACTTATCCAATATGGACAGTAACATTGAAAATAGTGCTTCTTACAGAAATCTCAGGGAGGAGGGTCTTGGATAGACACGCTCAGGTTGCAAACCACCTTATTGCTACCATTTCACAGGCAGAGTAATTCTAAGACCTCTCTCTGATTCGTCCCAAGGTCTGCATCATTTTGCCAATGTTCCAGAATAAAGTTTTTCTTTCAGCTCAAGGTCATGCTCATGTGGGTACTTTGCTGAGGAAAAATATTGAGGTTACCTCTTCTGTCAGGGAGTTGGTTGATCTGTTCATCTTTTCTGGCAGGATCGGAAAAGGGCTTTCTGCGTCTTCTAGGACACATGCAGTGTAACTAGTCCTAGAAGAAAATGGAGCCATGGATCAATCTCAGGGACAACTGTACTAGAAGGATTTCATCCTTATGGGCAGAAGTTAGGAGTGTATCTCAGACATCCCGACCTGCAAAACCTTATTTCAGGGAGGTTCCCATTTCATTTCAGGGAGGTGCTCTTTCTGTTTTTTGTGGAATATAACATGGGTGCAAAAATGGAAAAAAGGGCCTCAGTCATGAAGGGGTTAAAAAAAACGATGAGGAGTAAAGTCTCTGATACAGAGTTAACTAGTTGCTATGGGCAGCAAATGAAATAAATGTTCTCTATAACTAGATAACCAGGACATATAATTGATTCTATATTATCCACAAAGGGTTAACAGCACTCTCTCAACCCTGCAGCAGTGCCTGTACCTGCTCTCAATAGTAGTCTATGTCCGCCCTCTCTGTGCAGCAAGTAGCTTCTTCCTTCTGAGAGCCAAGCCTCGTTCTGAGGCGACTCTAGAGATCACATGACCTTCCTCCAGGAGGCAAGCCTCACTCTGAAACCTTACCCAGTGATATCTTACCGGAAAGGTTTACTCAGAGTGAACCTTTCAGGGAGAAAATGCCTCTCTCGCGGACGTCAGGGAGACGCTATCTAAAAGAGGGATACTCCCTGAACATCAGGGAGACTTGAGATCCCTGGTATCTCCTGAATTATTTTGCAAGGCAGTAACCTAGTCTGCATATGGCACGTTCCTAACACTGTTACAAGATCTATCCAGCAGTTTTGACCATGGTGGAATTTGGTTGTTCAGTTCTGAATGTATCTAACCGTTGTGAAAATAAATAAATATCTCAGTATTACCCTCCTTGTTTTTGGCGTGCTTTGTCCCTTGTGTACGCTGCCGTGCTTGTGTCAGGGAAATGGAATATTGTATACTTACTGATGAGTAATTTTCCTTTCCTGACGCTAAAGCATGGCAGCATACAAAACCCTCCCAGGGCTTCCCATTGAGTATATTTGACAAGAATGCTGCCTCTAGGGTGTGGTTTTCATTTATAGTATAACCGGTCCTGTGATTGGGTGAGGGGCAGAGCTATACCCATGTGTATGCTACTATGCTTTAACATCAGGAAAGGAAAAAAAACAACAGGCAAGTATACAATTTTCATTTTTTTTGCAGTTTCCTGCTTGTTTCTGTTCTGATGAATTAACGGTTTGTTGCAGCATGTCCTTTCCAAACTGATTCCTGAATAGGAGGGTCTGGGCTCATTATAATCAGCTGGGGGGCTTCATGTGTTTTAATAGGGAAAGGTGCAGTGTCTGTAATTCCTATTGCAAGGGATGCCTAAAATTTTACTGCTATCTTATTGCAGACTTCTGGGAATATCAGTCAGCCAATCTCAGAAGCAGGAAGTTACATTTCTGGGGGCATTCCATACACCGAATGTATATAGAACGCCTCCAGGTCGCAATACTGCATTGATTTTTTTTTTGACAGATTTAGAATATTACAGCAGCTACAGTTTTAAATGGAAAGGTAATTTTTAATCACCTTAAATTACAAAACGGATTGTGCAACAATTTTATATATGCTTTATTCATTTTTTTATAGATTTTTTTTTTAAAGTGGAGTTACCTTTTCTTATTAAGGTGGCCTCTACTGGGTCTGTAAGTACTTATTGGGCTTTTTCTGCATCAGGCTACTGTTTTCTAGGTTTGCAAGGCTGCCACCTGGTCTACTGTTCACATACCTCTACCTCTGCTACCAGGTGGATGTTTATGCCTCATCTGATGCCAGCTTTGGGTGCGAGGTCCTTCAGGTGGCTCTTTGAGCTGCAGGCAGTCCCCATTCCCTGTTGGCATTGATAGGCTGTTTTGCCCACCCCTCGATAAGGCCTCATGCACATGAGCGTTAAAACTTATCTGGAAAGTATAAACGACTTTTATGCTTCCCAGATCACTTTTTGCTGGATTTAGTTGCGTTAACACTCATTTAGCTGCATAAAAAACAGTCCAGGGACGCCGAAATTGTTGTGTAAACGCAGCCAGACTGAATGCATCTAGACGCTACTTAATGTCTAGGTATGCATTCAGCCATAGCAAAGCATTACATACTTATAGGTGCGTTTTAGAAAGGAGCGCCAAACACATCTGGACTGATGTATTTAATTGCCATGTGCCTGAAGCCTAAAATATGCATTTGGATGTTCCTAAGGATTAGGACTTCCTGTGCCCCTCAATGGACTTGAAGAAAAATAGAATCTTTGTACGCATCATTAAAATCCTTTCATCAACATAAGCCAAGGAACAGGCAGGTGATCCAGGGAGTAGTAAAGGAGAACCACAATATAGTAGAGTGGTTTATCTAGCGGTTCTGTGTGGCATTTATGTGAAAATTACAAAGCATAACTGAATACAATTACAATGGCATTTGCAGGTAAAAAAAATAAACATATGCCTTTCAACTGCTTATCCTGCTGTTTGACCAGAGAGCCACTTGAATGTACTACGGAGACTAATCAATAAGTGAATAGTATATGCTAGGGTACACTGAGGTATTATTGCACATGCACTGTTTTCAAGATGTTAATGCTTGTGCACGTAGTCTGGTTACTGAGGGGCATTGCCTATACAAATGAGTCTGGCCACCAAGGATAACCAACATACCCTGGTGGCTGATCTCTGTAGAGTTAATGCTGATACACTGGTCACTGAATGTTATTACACATAATGTAAAGACTGTTCACTGGGGTGTTAAGGCACATAATCTTGAGGCTAGTCACTGAAAAGTTAATGCATATAAACTGAATTTCGGTCAATGACAGTTAAAGGAGGTATACAGTGCAGGTGCCTAGAGATGTGGTAGCTTCCATTGCCACATCTGCACCTGAATGCTGGGCCATTCTGAACAGGCAAAGCTCTGACACTTCTAGTTAGTGATCCCACTCCCTCACGCCCAATCCCCTGAAAGATTTATGTTGGTCCATCACTATGATTGGCTGCCTCATGCCCATAGGAATGTGTGGGAGGAGCCAGGCATGATTAGCCACTACTCCTCTTAAAGGGGATTTTGGTCACTGATGGATTATTGCATGTATGCTGGAATCTTGTCATTTAGGTTCAATTCTCATATGCTGAAACTTTTAGCCCTCATTCACACTAGAAAAGGCCGGCACGTACAGCTCCGTGCTGCGTGCATGGTCGTATCGCTCAGCTCCCGGGAAGGACAGGTGCTGCGTGTGATTAGTATGCAGCACCCGTCCTTCTCTATGGAAGTACGCTGCTCTACGCTCACCCCAAGTGCAGGTCCGTACGGATGCGTGTTTCCTTACTCCGACGAAGACAGGATCCATCCTGTCAGCGTACGAGTACGGATACCAGCACCCGCACGGACCAGCAGGGCGGGTGAGAGTAGGGCGGCGTACGGCCACATACTCCCATAGAGAAGGACGGGGGCTGCGTACTAATCACACGCAGCACCTGGCCTTCCCGGGAGCTGAGCGATACGGCCATGCACGCAGCACGGAGCTGTACGTGCCGGCCTTTTCTCGTGTGAATGAGAGCTAAAGCTGATCGTTTAAATACCAGACACTAAAAACTGGTCACCAGAGTATAGGCATTAACTATATGGGAACCAGTGTGTGTGAATTTACCTTTTAGGACCAGACTTAGTCTGGGTTTTTGCATGTAGTGTCAAGACTGGTCACTTAGGGTTTAATTCATGTACTGTAGGGACTGATCACTGTATTGGTAATGCTTATATACTAAAGACTGCTTGCCAAATGGGCAATTGGCATATGCTGCGGATGATCATTGAAGGGTTAATAATACACATATGTTGGAGACTGGTCACTGGGTGGGCAGTGCACATGGCCTGGGGACTGATCAGTAGGAGGTAAGGAACCTTTGCTAGGTACTGGTAATTGGAGGGGGGGGATGAGGTTAAAGCAAATAATCAGGGAGCTGATAAAAAGGGTAATGCTGACACCCTGAAAACTAGTCATTGGGGGTTCATTTACATAATCTGAATTATTTTTGGTCACCGATCATTTAAAGGAGAATTTGTATTCATCTCTTTGTAGATCTACATGGGTTGCCAAGATGACAGCAACTACACGTCAGCAAGTTCTTGGTCTGTATCGCAAGATTTTCAGGATTGCAAGAAAATGGAAGTCTGTGTCTGCACTGGAAGAAGATGCCAGCAAAGAAAAACAGTATATAGTTGAAGAAGCCCGGCACTTGTTTCACAAAAATAAACATGTATGTATCCTACACATTACTATAAATGAATAGCTCTCCATGTGTGCATAAGGTTGGTCATACTCCCTATGTGACAGTGATTGGGCCTGGTGATAGGTCTCATGTGGGCCTCATACCTAGAAGTTTGGGGTCTCCAGGGGGGCTCTGTGGAGGACAGCGTGTCTGTGACACATTATGGTACCTGCTGTATACATCGTCAGTTTTAGGCACGCTGTGATATGAAGTAGCTTAATCATGCCATTTATTTCACTAGCAATTAATTGCTCTGAATAGTAACTCATAGCTACAAAAACTTTACCAATGACTGTCTACGTTGTAAGATATAAAAGTAGCATGTAGCAGTGATTCATTGTACATTATCCCAGAGCACTCCCAGATGTGTGCAGTCTATCTTTTTCTTGTTTTCAGAATAGGGGGCCATTTGTTCTGCTTAGCAGGTAGTAGCTAACATATGGCCTTGCCCATCACTGCACAGCCTCGCATCCAATTCATGTTCTACCTAGTGCACATTTGTGCTATGGCCCCACTCTTTCCCACTGATAGGATAGTGACCCCCAGCTATTCAGTGGGATATAAATCATCCTTAAAGTGACATTAAACCCTCAGATTTTTTAACATAAAACAATACTATAATGTGTGCCTTACTGTAATCCATGGTTGTTTCCCTTCTCTTTGCTGCTCTTCCTTTTAAATCCTCATGTCTTCTCATGCTGGACAGAACTTCTGTTTTGCAGCAGACTGCCTTGTCTCTGAAATGGATTCATGGTGTCTGTGTGCAGGTTCACAACCTGAGCCAGCACTACAGGAAGAGGCACTCGGCTGCAAAGGGAAGTTCTCCCCTAGCATGAGAAGACATGAGGATTTAAAAGGAAGAGCAGCAAAGAGAAGGGAAACAACCATGGATTATAGTAAGGCACACATTACAGTATTGGTTTATGTTAAAAAAAATTGAGGGTTTAATGTCACTTTAAGAAGCAATGGAGCCGCTGTACACTGAGCAGAGAAACTGGCCAATACATTTTGGATGCACTGGCTGTGCAGGGATGAAGGTAGGTGTTTAAATAAAGCCCCCCCACCCCCTGGGTGTAGCCAATATATTGTTTGAAGGGCAACTTCATAGAAAGTGAAGTTGTTCTTCAAAGTAACCATAAGAGAGATCACCATCAAAAGTTTAAAACCATGTCAACCTTGTTTCCATTTCAATATAAATTGTCATAAATACACTCTGATAATACTTTCAATCAAATCTTAAAGTAAACCTGTATTCAAAATGTGAAGATTTGCTTTAGTATGGGGAACACATAGAGATGTTAATTGTGCCTAAGCAATACCCTAAAAAATGTACCTTTTTAGTCTTGATATCCTCCTGAAAAATATCAGTGCATTTCCTGATGGGTAAGTGTGCCTAGACACTCCTTTGCCTACAGCAGTGGTTCTCAACCTGTGGGTCGGGACCCCCTCGGGGGTCGAATGACAATTTGCCAGGGGTCGCCGGGAGTCAGTGGCATAACAACGGGGGCCGCCGGGTAGCGATAAGCGGGCTGGCCGGGAGGAGCACAATATTGAAACAGGCAGACCCGGTGGTAATCATGTAGTTGAGTGGACCGGGCTCCGGGCTTTTGCTGTAATGATCTCAGCTCCGCCCCCTGTGCTGACTTCGGTGCCGCTCCATCCCACACTGTGTCTCCAGCTGTCCCCCACCATGTGCCTTCTCTGGAGCCTCACACTACCTCCTCGGGGCCACTCTCTGCACTGTGGGAGGAGCCATTCTCTCCTCACTGCCTCCTGCAGTACTAGTCTGTGTGTGTGTGTGTCTGTTTGTATGTATGTGTGTGTCTGTTTGTCTGTATGTGTGTGTCATTGTATGTATGTGTGTCATTGTATGTGTCACTGTGTTTGTCACTGTGTCATTGTATGTGTGTGTCATTGTATGTGTGTTTGTCAGTGTGTCATTGTATGTAAGTGTGTCATTGTATGTGTGTGTGTCATTGAATGTGTGTGTGTCTGTCACAGTGTTTGTGTATGTGTGTGTGTGTCTGTCCCTGTGAGCTTGTAAGCTTCATCAAGTCCTAGTGCCCAATTCCTATGTTTCTGTGTCCTGTGCATTGTGTGACGTGTTGTATATCACTGATAGATATACTGTATATTGTATATAATAATCCAGGTCAATAAAAGAGAGAGAACTTTCCTGTGGAAGGTTTCTACACTGTCAGTACACAATTTGCAGGCATCACCGCCCTCCCCAATGGTGGATTTCCGGCACCTAATCCTGTCCACATACATTTTATTTAGGCATAATAACACTTTGATATGGAGGGGAAGTGTACAAGGACAAGGAGGGCATGCTCGGACCTGTAGTTCCCAGGGTGATATGTGGTGTACAGGGATAATGAGGGCATGATGGGACTTGTAGTTGTACAGCCTCCGCATATCACCTAGGGAACTACAAGTCCCAGCATTCAGTGGCGTCACAGGGGGCTGCAGCCCGCACCCGGATGCCACCAGTGGAGGCGGTGACACCAATATGACTGACAGTCATTTTGGTGTCACCCCCTCTAATAATAAATAATAATAAAAATAATAGTAATTTTTTTCTAAAAGAAAACATAAACCTTTTATTATCATTATTATGAATAATAAAAGCTGACACCCTCAACTTGTGTTATATGGTTTTGCCATTTTAGCTGTTACAGCAGCGGTTCTCAACCTGTGGGGTCGCTGTGTGATTTCTGCTGTGCAAGGTGAGAGTCCTCCTCAGCCCTCTCCTAGCGCAGCAGTGTCAGTTCTCCTGCCACGCCGCCAGATGCCGCTGCAGCAGCCGCGTCATCCCTAAATTTTACCGTTGTGGGTCACCACAACTTGGCAAATGTTACCAAGGGGTCCCGGCCCTAGAAAGGTTGAGAACCACTGTTCTACAGCCTCATAGCTGTATCTCTATAGTGTGAGATCTAAGGCACTGCTGCCACTGACTGCAAGTTTCTGGAGTTTTGGACTGAGATTTGGTGATATCACTCTACTGTGCTGCTAGGAAAAGCAAAGCATTGCCTCTATAAAGTTGTCCGCCTCCACACAGAGACACAGTGCAGGACCAGGCATGGCAAGTCAAAAATGGGGAAAACATCGGCTGCCGGAAAACCACAGGCAATACTGGTGACTAGTCTTTGATGTTATAGGAGCACATTCCCTCACTCCATACAATGCCATGTGAATTTTTTCTATACATGCTTTTCGCCAAATGTGAGAACTTGCAAGGCACATTAAAAGAGAACTTTGGCCAAACCTTTTTTGGTCATAGTTCTCTATTGGGTCACAGGGGGACATTTACTAAGCACAGAGCCTCACTGCAGCCGGGATGGATCCTGACCCCCCTCCCCGTCCGTTTCTCCAGTCAGCAAGGGAATCCCTGCGGGGAACGGTAACTGACAGTCATCGCTCATGGAGAAGACCGTCAACTGAGCGATCGGCGGTATGAGATTGCTTAGTTCTCAATATATAGAGCTGACATGTGACATGCCGGCTCTAACTATGGCCAATTCATAATTCTCCTTTTTAAAGTGACACAAACTCAGGAGCTAGATCTTAAAAATACATTCAAGTACCTTCACTATTAACAAAAATGGATCTTATTTGTTTATCGCTCGGCTGTAGATCCTCAAATCATCTCTGAATTAGTGCTGACACTGTCCTTCCTGCTGGAGGGTGACTACTTTTGTTCCTCATGGTCCCTGTGTGTGCTGTAAAGTAGCCACCGCTCCAAGCCCCTGTGATGGACTACAATCTCCAAACAAATTAGTAAACTAAACCTTAGCTTGTAGTCCATCACAGGAGTGAACTTGGAGTGGTGGCTACTTTACAACACACACAGGGACCATGGGGAACAAAAGTAGTCAGCATGGACAGTGTCAGCAGGAGTTCAGATCTACAACTAAATGATACAAATAAGATACATTTTTGTCAGGTACTTTGAAATCATTTTTAAGATTTAAAGGAGAACTATGGGGTTAGGGCTTTTCCCCATAGTTCTCCTTATGGTAACGGGAGGACACAAACTAGCGTCCTCCCGTCACCCTAGGCTCAGTATACTGCAAGCTGTAGCTCGCGGTATACTGAGACGCCGCAACTGAAGCGGATCCCGACAATTGTGCTGGGATCCGCCCAGCTGCGTGACTGACAGCTGGCTCTGCCTATCTAGAGGCAGAGCCAGCTGTACCCGCCCCCTCCCCCGTCTGTCCCGCCAGTCAGCGCTGGCGGATCGGAGCGAAGAGAGGGGAATCCAGCCCCTCCCCTGTCGCGGCAGAGAGCCATGACAGGATCGAGAGGTGAGTGAACGCCGGTATGTGTTCGCTCACCTCCCGATCTACTGAGCCGACCTGTGACAGTCTCATTGTTACAGGTCGGCTAGAACTATGACGTGAGTGGAAATCACTCATCTCATAGTTCTCCTTTAACTCCTAAATTTAGTGTCACTTTAGGAGAGGCTTTATGATGATTGTATATGAATACAGAATGCGGTATTCTGGTATTACATCGGCCCTCTAGATTTATTGCAGATTTAATCTGCCTATATAGTTGACCTGTCTATATACAGTAGATGATCAGTTGTGATATCGTGCTCCTAAGAGCTTAATCCGCTTGTTAGCAATCACTTCATTTGTATCACATGGATCTCAGATGAGGATGAGATGATTTCCAGCAAGATGTTGGAAAACTCCTCATCTATAGCATGAGTTTACAATCTCGTTAGGCATTTAGTTTATCCCTTAATGAGCTATTTTCCTGTCTTATGTAAGAGTTTGTTGTACCCAGTGCTCTGCATTATGCCAAGGCTGTTTGACCACTGGGTGGCAATGTTTGACCAGGAACTGTATATGTAGAAGGAGTGTTGTTTTGAAGTGTTCAGTGTTTCATTTGGGCATCACATTTATATGTTACAGTGCAGCTTTCTCCATCAGTATATAAATGTCTGTCATGATATAGGGTTCTTTCACACGTGCATTGAG